GATGCTCACCGGTGCCTGTAGATAAACACAGATGTCCACACAGTCAGAACTCCTGTGTGCCCCAGTGTCCACAAGCTACTTTTTTAAAAAAAGATTTTATTTATTTATTTGACAGACAGAGGTCACAAGTAGACAGAGAGACAGGCAGAGAGAGAAGGGGGGGGGGGAAGCAGGCTCCCTGCTGAGCAGAGAGCCTGACGTGGGGCTCGATCCTAGGACCCTGAGATCATGATCTGAGCTGAAGGCAGAGGCTTAACCCACTGAGCCACCCAGGTGCCCCGCTCCTTTTTTTTTTTTTTTAATTTAAGATTTTTATTTATTTATTTGTCAGAGAGTGAGCACCAGCAGGGGCAATGGCAGGCAGAGGGAGAAGCAGGCTCCTCTCTTAGCAAGGATTCCCAACTCGGGACTTGATCCCAGGACCCTAGGATCATAATCTAAGTGGAAGGCAGATGCTTAACTGACTGAACCACCCAGGTGTCCTTCCACATGCTACTATTTTGAGAAGTGAATGACCAAGCTCTCCTCCTCCCCTCAGTTTCTTGGATTCCTGGCAAAGTGAGATCTCAAAGCCAATAGGAACAGCCTTGGCATCTCCAGGCCCTTTTCAGAAGAACAGGGAGGGGAAATCCAAAGTCACATGGGGACTTGGGTGGCCCAGTGACACCATCCAGGAATATAGTGTCCTGAGCCCAGCCTCACTCACCAGACTGTCTCAGTTGAGATTCTCCCCTATTGATGCCCTCCTCCCATCAGAGCTAATTATGGTGGCCAGTGCTGGCAAATGGTTGGAGTGCTTGGCACAAGGAAGAGCCCAGTGAATGTTAGGGACCATAATTATCACTGAGTAGCATCATTATTACCATTATGAATATTCTCCTTGAAATGCAAAGAGATCCTTGTTCTTTGTGTCTAGTTTTCCAGCCTTTTCTCTCATCCTCCCGACTGTCCTGTCCTGGCACCCACCGCAGCGTCCCTCAGGCCTTCCAGCTTTGTCTCTCTCCTGCTCTCGCTTGAGAGAGTCAGTCCTTGAAAGCCATGGTTTCCTTTCTCGTTGGTTGGTTCTTCCCTGACATCCCTCTTTGTTCTCATTTGCCTCTAAACATCACAGTCTGGTCTGTCTGCCTCGGTTTGGGTGGGTGTCAGAATGTGTTTGGAATAGAAAGCCCCCTAAAATGGCCTGGCTTAAGAGGAGCTTTAGATAAGGAATGCAGGGAATCTCACAAAACCCAATACCCAGGGCTCCAGGACCTTGGAAAGCCGTTGCTCACACACTCACTTCAATTCAGTAGCAAATACTTACTGTGTACCTACTATGCACCAGGTAGAAAGAGAAACAAGACGCTTGCTCTCGTGGAGCTTGCATTTTAGTGGTAACGGGGAGAAGTTATAATCCTGTAGTAGCTCTGTGCCGAGAGTTAAACCTGGGCAAGGAATGGTGGCAGAGGTCGGGATGCTTTGGATTCAGGAATGAATCCCTACTCTCCTATCCCCCTCCACTCTGGGTGCCCCTCAGCCCAGCAGCCCCTGATCCCCTTCAGTGCCACAGTCCCACATCTTTTAATTGCCTTGACCTTCACGTTCTAAACCCATCTCCCTGGAATGGAGAATTTGCCTGTTTCAATGTGTATCAGGAATGAACTTGTCCAGTTCGCTGAGACTGGATACCTTGGGTACCAGGGAACATGTTGTTATGGAGGTCTCTTTCTCAGTAGGGATTTACAGGTAGGAGCCTTCTCTTGGAAGGGGACCTGGGGCGGGGGTGGGGAGACAGTGATAGACACCCATTCATTTACTCATGCATTCATTCATTCACTGGACAAGCTGATTGGACAAACTAGAGAGTCCCAGGTGCTATTGTAGGTGCTGAGACACAGCTGTGAATATGACGGATCTGTTTCAGTCTTGCAATGTGTATTTTATACTGGACACAAACTAAACATGTAAGCAAATAAATATACAGGTTCATTTCAGATAGATAAGCGCTGTAAAGACAACAAGGAGATGGGGAAGAAAGTAGCCAGGAGGCTTGTTTTGTCAGGACATCTGGGCAGGCTCTCTGGAGAGGTGACATGCTTTTCCATCTTCATTGAGATGTAACTGGTATCTAACATTGTGCAAGTTTAAGGTGTACGATGACATGATTTGATACACATATATATTGTGAAATGATTACCACAATAGGGTTAGTTAACATCTCCATCACATAATTACCTGTGTGTGTGTATATGTGTGTGTAGTGACAACTGAAGATCCAACTTTCTTAGCAACTTAAGAAAAAAGATTTTATTTATTTATTTGAGAGAGAGACTGTGCACAAGCAGGGTGGGGGGAGAGTCAGAGGGAGAGGGAGAAGCAGACTCCCCACTGAGCAAAGAGCCCAAGCGGAGATCTGCCTGGTCCTGGGATCACGACCTGAGCCGGAGGCAGATGCCCAACCGACTGAGCCACCCAGGAGTCTGAGTTGTGGGTTTTTATTCTAAGTGCAATGAGAAGTTGCTGGACCAGTTGCAGTGGGGAAGAGTGCCGTGATCTGACTGACTCACATTGTTGGAAGATCCCTCTAACTTCCTTGTTAGGGAATGCGTTTCAGGGAGTGAGGGCGGAAGCAGGGAGGTGAGGGAGGAGGTAACCGCAGGAGTCCAAGCAAAACCAGTTGTGGCTGTGCCAGGATAGAAGCATCCAGAATGGTGGGCAGTGGGCAGATTTGGTACATGTTTGAAGTAGAGCCACCAGGACTTGCTGATGGATCATATGTGAGGGTGAGAAAAAGGAACATAGGAATGGGATGGTAGCTGGAGAGAAACATGAGGCCCAAGGAGAATTTCTTTTCTTTCTTTCCTTTTTAAAAAGATTTTATTTATTTATTTGAGAGAGAGAGAGAGAGAGTATGAGCAGGGGGACAGGAAGAACGAGAGGGAGAAGCAGGCTCCCTGCTGAGCAGGGATCCCGACGTGGAACTTGATCCCAGGACCCTGGGATCCTGACCTGAGCTGAAGGAAGATGCTTAACCGACTGAACCACCCACATGCCCCCTACGGAGAATTTCTAAAAGAAGTGGGGACCAGAGCTGGCCAGATGACAGCTAGGTCATCCTGCCTCTTGATAGCCAGGAAGAGATGATGGTCTGCACCCCCTTCTGTGCTCTATGGAAAACCAGTGTCTCCACAAGATTTCCCCCCTCCCAATGGGACCTATATTCTCTTGATCATCCCTTGTCTTCAATGCCCTGCTTCTGCTGAATTATTATTCTCTATTTGGCATCTTGTGCCCTTTGGTGTCTGCCCTGACCTTTTACATAGACTGAGAGCTCAGTCCTTGAGGTGATGGAGAGCCTTAAATACCAGGGAAGACACTCAAACTTCATCCTGAAAGCAGTTGGGCCATTTTTCCACCCATGTATTTATTCAACAAGTACTTGTGAGGACCTACTATGTACATCACAGGAGAGAAGAGGTGAGTCAGGCAGACAGAGTGCGTGGGGCATCCTTAAAAATGGGGAGACAGGTAATGGTCAAATATTCACAAATAAGTATAAATGGCAGCTATGATAACAGCTTTCAGGAAAAGATCCATGGTGTTATAGGAGCTTCTAATAAAGGGATTTGATGTGATTTGGAAAGGTGTAGAAAGCAAGAGCTGGGATCTGAAGCTAAGAGCAAAGGGTGCTCTGGACAGAGGGAACTTCTTATGCAAAGGCTCTGGGGTGAGAGAAAGTGTGGACAGTATGACAGATTAAAGAAGACCTTGGAGGGGAAGGGTATGAGATGAAAGCAGAGATAAGTAAAGTTACGGTAAACCTGCAGGGCTTTATGGTTGTGTTAAGGACTTTTGTCTGTATCCTAAGGAAAAGGGGAATCTATTAATGAGGTTTCGGTTGGGAGGATGTTATAATCAGATACGCATTGTGAAAGTTCCCTGAGGTTCTCATCTGTGGAGTAGAAAGGCAAAAGAAAAGGTCTATCAGGGTAGACCAGACAGACTTTCTGAACTGTGAGAGTAGACCATTCGGACTCAATTGGACTACTGAGTGGTGATAAAGATAGAGAACCAGGGTGCCTGAGTGGCTCACTCTTTTGAGTGTCTGACTCTTGATTTCAGCTCAGGTCATGATATTGGAGTGTGGGATTGAGCCCCCGTGTCAGACTTCTTGCTCAGCAGGGAGCCTGCTTGAGATTCTCTCTCCCTCTTTTCTGCCCCCGTCAAATCAGTCAATCAGTCAATCAATCAATCAAACTTAAAAAAAAAAAGATGGAGAGCCATGCATGAACACAAAATACCAAGAAGTTAAAATCAATGAGGGAATGGAAATGGGGGTGGGGATAACGCCCGGGCATCTGAACCACTGACTTGGCGGCAGTGGGAGGGGGAGGTGCTATGAAGATGATGAGAACTAGGTTCAAGAGAGGAGATCTTGCATTTCATTTTGAGTTTGTTGGGACTGAGATGCTTTTGAGACAACCAAAGTGGGGCAGGTCAAAGAGTCAGCAGTATATATGGGTTTGGAGTTCTGAAGACATTTACACATGCAGGTGGTGGTGGAAGCTTTGGCAAGGGTAAGTGGTTCTCAACTGGGAGGCGATTTCACACCCAGGAGACATTTGGCAATATCTGGAGACATTCATTGTCACAGCTGGGAGGGGGTAGTTCTGGCGTCTAGTGGGTGGAAACTGCTGAACACCCTACAGGGTGCAGAATTGTTACCCAGCTAAAATATCACTAGTGCTGAGGTTGAGAATCCCTGGTTTAGAGTAACATTTAATGACTAGGTGGATGATGAAGAAAAGGAGATGCGTCAATGTAGGAGGGAACCATGCAAGCGTGTGTCATAGTGTCCAAGGGAAGGAAATGTATCAAGAAAGAGAGAACACTCAACAGAGTCAAATCCTGCTGAGAGGTCAAGAAAGGTGGTGGGCTGAGAAGTATGTCCATTGGATTTACAAACATGGAGGCTGTTGGTGGACTTCGCAAGAGCTGTGTTGGTCATATGGTGGGGTCAGAAACTAGGTAGGAGTGGTAGAGGAGGGAGTTAGTGTAGGCAACTAGGGAGAGGGAAGAAGTGGGAGACAGATGGAAGGAGGAATCAAGTAAGGTATTTTGGTTTTTTAATAGGAGACACTTGAGTTCTTTAAAAACTAATGAGAGAGATCTGCCTGAAAGGGAGAAGTTGAATATGCAAGACAAAGACAGGATATTGATTGTGTAAGACTCCCAAGAAGGGAGAAAGGGACAAAACAAGAACAGCTGCGTGAACCTTAAGAGACAGGGCAGTTCCTCCACTGCAGCAGGAAGTAAGGGCCAGGATGTGGAAGAAGTTTGGAGATAATGACAGGAGAAGAGGGATTCTTTTTTTTTTTTTTTTTTTAAGATTTTATTTATTTATTTGGCAGACAGAGATCACAAGTAGGCAGAGAGGCAGGCAGAGAGAGAGGGAGAAGCAGGCTCCCTACCAAGCAGAGAGCCTGATGCGGGGCTCAATCCCAGGATGCTGGGATCATGACCTGAGCCAGAGGCAGAGGCTTTAACCCACTGAACCACCCAGGTGCCCCAGGATTCTGTTTTATGCCTCTAATTTTCCCTGGGAAATCAAGGAAGGTTAGAGGAGAATGGAGAATGTCTAGAGTCTTTCTCCTAAGTTCAAGTGGCCCCATGACAGTATGCCTTCCTTGTGCTGCACCACCATGAAGAAAGCCTTCTTCAAAGTCCCTTCCTGAACTCCTGGCCTGAGGTTGGCCTCTGAGCCTAGAGAGAGCTCAGATATCCAGCTCCAGAATTTATGAGGTAAGACTTGTGATTGGTTCCCATAAAGTCCCCCATTCTTGAAGATTAATGCCGTAATAGCCCATCAAGAAAGCCTTGTAATAATCCTTGAAAAAGACCCATAAAATCCACTTTGATGAACTTCAGGTAATGGCATTGGAAAATAAAGTTCCCCTACCCTCGTTAATCCTGGGATACAAGACTCAGTTGCAGTGGACATTCAGAGGCCTGAGCTCCGTGAGTGGGGAGATGCTCAGGAAGAGGAAGCTTCAGCTAATGGATTCCTCAGCCAGTTATGAAGTCAAGCTCAGTCAAGGTGGAACCCGATACTGAGATAGACCAGGTTCAACTCAGGTTCCAAGACTGGGGATTAGTTCAAGTCCTGGGACGGAACAGGGATATACCCTTGAGGTCTTAAGATACTCCATGGTTGACTCTGAGACAGATGAGGGTCAGCCCCAAACCCTGGGTAGACAGAGACTAAACTTGGGGTCTAGGGAAAGACCCAAGATAAGCTTGAACAAATTCAGGTCCTGAGTACATCAGAGCTATAGTGGAAACCTGAGATAGACAAGGCCAAACCCACGTCCTGGGGTAGACCAGAGCAGAGCTCAGGATGACAGAAACAGAGAACGGACTTATCTTGGGGCAGATGAGGGAGAGCAGGTTTGCTCTGTGGGGATCTCCCGGCTTTTTGAGACTCCTCCCTTGAACTGTTGAGTACCTCTGATTAATAGCCATTGCAAGTGACATGGCATGTCCCAGGACTAATGAGGGGACATGAATTTTATTTTCCAGTGTAAGGTCATCCTAGGACCTGAGTTTGAGCCCGTGCAGGCCCATGAGCCTGGAAACATGCTCAGTGGAGCCGACAGCTTGGGAATGCCAAAGGTGGCCATCCATCCCTCCATGTTGACTGTGACCCATCTGGTGCAGACTAGAGTAGTCCCTACATTCCACAGGCATGTAACACACAGGGGCTCACACATTCACACTGCAGCAGACACACACACACACACACAGAGCCCCAAACCCATGCCTGTGCCTCAGACACAGCAACATGCTTTGCACAGATGTACACAGTGACACAACAGCCTCACACAAATCCTCATGTACCACATGCAGAGACTGCATCACGGTCTCACAGACACACGGTCAGCAGACCAAGGCAGCACACTCAGACACTGCCTCCCAGGTGACGACACTGTTGTATTTGTGACGATGGCATGATTCTAGGGGAGTGGTGTGCTCTGAGAACAGCGTCCCCCTGGAGGTGTGCAGTGCAGTGCCTTGCCTTTCACACTCACAGTCTTTCCCCCACAGTCTTGCACGCTCTTCCTTGTCCCTGGTTGACGCGTGCATATGTGTAATTTCATACACTCGCTGATGCTCACACATTTGGGCTATGTACCGTTGTGTGTTCTCGGCCACCCAGAGGTGCCACACATCCACGCACTCTTCAAATGAACTCATGCAGTTGACAGGGGTCTCTGCCTTGTATGGTTACTTGGGGACCCCAGCTGACATAGGCTTCTCATCAGCACACACTTCCACAATGGCTGAGACAGGAACGTGGCAAATCACGCAGTGGCTCTTAAAGCTGTCACCGGCAAGTCACCGACACTCACATGGCGTTGGTTAGAGGGAGTCATGGGGCCACGCTGGAGAAGCACAGCTCTATCATGTGCCCAAGAGAGAAGAAATGGGTAAGTTGTGAATAGTTGCATTGACCGTCACGGTCATTCACACATTCAGAGAGTTGCACGCTCACACCTGCAATGTCACACATGCACACTTCATCTCCTCCCGTAGGGACCCGCCTTTATGACCTGTCCCTCTCCTCGGGGCCAGGCACGGGGCTCCACATGCCCTCCCAGTGGCCTGCCTGCAGAGCTCCTTTGCCTCCTGGCACATCTGAGGGGCCTCCCCCTCCCTCCTGAGCTGGGGGTCCCAGGGTAATGAGTTTTCAAGCCAGAGCTGAGAAAACAACGCAGACACCTTCTCTGCCCCCGGAGTGGGCGGTATTTTTCCACAGACACTGGGGAAGAATAATAATAGGCATTGGGAGATCTCTGTATTGGCCGAGAACCTTCCCCGTCTTGCCAGCTGAGCTTGGAAGGGGAGCCCCGAGGGGAGAAGGCAAATCCGGAGAGACCCCCGTTCTCCCCACCCGCATGTCCTCCAACAACATAGGAGACCCCCTCCTTCCCCTCATGGCCCACCCACTCCTCCTTTCAACTACTTAAATATTCCAAGGCAGGAAGCTCATGAATATTTATAGGGGCCTGGCAGTGAGAGAGATAAAAAAAAAAAAAAAACATTTAGAATTTATGAACCAAGATCCGTCTATAAATAACAGGCCTGTGGCTGATGGGGTTCTTCCCTCACCCACCACATTCCTTCAAGTTCAGTTCCAACCCCATCCAAGCCTCCCGGAGCTACCCCCCCCCGCGCGCGCGCGCACACACACACACACACACACACACACACACACAGCTTGGCTGTGGTTGCACAAATTCCCATCCTCCCATGCACTGTCACACACCCACAGCGAGTACACAGACACGCGTTTGCACCTGCCTGTGGTCTGGCCCGCTGCCTCCCTTCTGCACACAGAGGCTCATGCAAAATCTGTTTGAACATGTCCGGGCGGCTTCCTATGTCCATGGTCAGGCAGTTACAGCCCCTCAGGCTCAGACCAGCCCACATGACACACAGTCACGCACAATCTCACACACCAGGGAAACGTCTGCGGCCCCAGTGCATGGGCCCATTGCCTGACCCGTGACCTCCCGCTGGGCCTTGGTTTCCTCATCTGTGTAAGGGGGACACTTCGAGTCCCTGCCTCCTAGCGTGTTTATGCAGAATTTTAACAAACCGATACCAAGTACCTGTTGTGTGTGAGGCGCTATTGTAGGTGCTGGTGACATAGCAGTGAACAAAAACAGGTAAAAATCCCTGCCTGGCGTTCTGGAGGGAAGAATGATAATACGTGCACAAACGTGTCAGAAGCTGGTAAGGTAGCAAGGGGGTGGGGAGTGGTGAGACGCTTGTACTTTTGACCTGGATGGGAGCCGTCAAGGAAGGGCTCTGGAAACCGTGACATTTAAGTAAAGATTTGAAGGAGGTGGAAGGACATTCCAGGCAGAGGGAACAGCCAGCATCAAGACTTGACAGAGAAGAAGCAGGCTCGAGGTGTTGCAGGAGCAGGGAGCAGACCCGCAGGGCTGGAGCAGAATGGGGGAGGGGGAGAGAGGGACAGGGGCAGGACAGGGCAGGGAGGGAACAGGACAGATTGCTCAGGGGCCTGTGGGCTGTGGTGAGGATTTTGCCCAGAGGAGCTGGGAGCCATAGAGGGTTGTAGAGAGTGGAAGATATGGCCTAAGGTTCTCACAGGCGCCCTCCGGCTGCTGTGGAGCCAGGCTGGCAGCAGGGGCATGAGGGCAGAGGCCCCTTCCCCCGGGAGATGACTGCTGAGATGGTGAGAAGTGAGTAGAAGAATGAGAAATTGTAAAGCTGTACAAGAAAGAGGCGATTAAAGCAGTCTCTAAGCGAATGCATTCAAGGATTCCTTGTTTAAGTCCAGAAATGTTTATTGAGCACGTACTGTATGCTGGGCACTGTTCTAGTTTGAGAACGCAGCAATGAGCAAAGCAATAAACATCCCTGCCCTTGGGGAGCTGACGGTATCGTGGGGGAGAGAGACAAGAAGCAAGATTCATTTTAAAGCAGGATCAAGGGGTAGTGCCCTTTTATGTGAAAAATGCAACAGAGAGAGCCTTGCAGAGCCTTGATGGGGCTGCACACGGAGACTGGTTGGACCGGGCAGAACTTGGGATGCATTTCGAAGCCAGAGCTGCTCTCAGGGTTGGCAGGTGGATTGCCTGTGTAGGTGGAAATGACAGAATGTGGTGCCTGGGTATGAACGTGAACTTTGAAGGGACACCCATACAGATACCGTTAGGTTGAATGTTCATTGTTTCCCCCCATCTTAGGTTGGGTTCCCGAGAAGCTGATCCCACGTCAGGGATTTGGAGCACATGGTTAATTGTGAGTGGAGGGTAAGGGAAGCAGGAGTGGGGAGGAGCTGGGTGAGGTCTCAGGTAAATTCTGGGCTTTCCCTGCTCCATGGGGGTGGAGGTCCCTCTGGAAGGTAACTTGGATTGCAGAAGGGTGGGCTTCTGGACCACCATGTCAATCCTGTTTTGGCTGCTCTGGGGGGCAGGTGATGCCTCTCAGGGTCTCCAGGGAGTGGTGATTCCCCAAAGCCAAGGGCAGGTCTCCAGAAAAGGTCGCAAGTGCTGGGAGCTCCCACTCAGCATCTGTGGGGTGGGTGTGCCCAGTGAGGAGACCTGGGCAGAGACCCAAGAGCCAGGAGCATCTCCTATACCCCAGGCTCCAACGAACAGGGCCACAGGAGCAAAGGGCATTTATGCCAATCGTAGCACGGATGTCTGACACCAGAACTGTTCTTAGCTCTCTTGGGATGAAAATCAGGCCAACTTGGCACCAGGGCTCCCCTGACACAGCTGAGGTCCTTTCTGGATTTATTAACTGCTGGAGACTCAGCCCTCTGCTTCCCAGACTTGTCTGGGAATTTCAGATGGGAACTGAGAGGAAGAGATGCTGCTCTGAAGCAGGTCGGGACAGCTCATTTAATTCTCCCGTGGTCCTATCAAAAGACACTGCTATG